TAAATTGATACTGTGTTGTTTATATATATATATATATATAATTTTCATATTTAATATATTTATGTTTACATTTTAATGGGGATTTGAACATTTATGACCAGTTACTTAACTGTAGATTTTGCCCTAAATAAATAATATTTCTATTAATATTTTGATACTGTGTTGTTTCTGTATTTCACAGTCTCATTTCAGGACAATTTCCACATTAAAAAATATGCATAGATGATTTGATGTTCATGCACAGAATATGCACCGAATGAACATGTAACAAATGAAGACAGTGTTTGTGTTTTGATGTGTGTGAAGCACACATTGGCTGTGTGTCTGTCAATCTACACACAGACATTAATTCATTTGATGCTTTATTTTCAAAAGCTTCTAATGCCTAACGCCTGTTTCACACACACACACACACACACACACACACGCGTCTGCAGTTCATGTGCGGTGCAGAAGCAGCAGGGGCTCACTGTGCTTCACATAAGTGTGTTTGCAGGGCACTGATACCACAAATACAAAAACACCTCCACCTATACCTTATTTTGACCTCAAATCCAAACGTGCTTAAAGTTAATGGACACACACCGCATACACTCTGTGTGAAACAGGCGTGGACAAGTCACTCACACTCACTCACACTCACTCTCACACACACACACACACACACACTCTCTCTCACACACACACACACACACACCCTTGACTGTGAGACAGTGAAGTTAATAAACACACACTAACACTAACATAATACTCGATCACACACGGCTCTGAAAGGATCAGCAGCGTTTCCAGATCGCTTCAATCTCTGATTCTAGTTTGGGCCTTTAAATTAAACGGACAATCTTTTCTTCCTCGAGTGTCGAGTTCTATATTCTCACTATATCAAAATATACAGGCCATATTTGATCAAATATGATACAAAACATAAAACACATTTGCAAACTTTTTTAGATTTGTAAAAAATATTTTGTCTAAAGGTTGAACAAACTGTTCAATAAAAAAAATAAATAAATAAATAAAAAAAAAAAAATATATATATAAATAAATTTAAAAAAAATAAATATATATATATATATGTGTGTGTGTGTGTGTGTGTTATTTTCTTTAAAGGGGAAGTGCATCATTTCTGTGCCACTGCATCATTTGTTTGACAGACTGCCAGAGAAACAGTATGAGGCTGAAGATGAAGATGATGAAGATGATGATGTTAATGTCTTGCTGACGCAGACATCTTACCTGACCCTTTAATAAATATTTCAGACTGTGTGTCTGTGTCTTGTGTCCATTAGGTTTAGGGTAAATAAAGAATTACTGATAAATAGAATAAAAATATATTATACATATTATATTACACATTAAATATATTATATATAATAATAATAATATAAATAACTATTAAGAAATCTATTTGATCAAACACACACACACACACACACACACACACACACACACACACACACAATATAAAACCATCAACACAAGCTAGAGTGAATAATGCCACAGGCTTTATTAGCACAGCGTTTCTTCATAAGCAGGTTTATTAAATCTACTGCCAATTATTTTCAGCTTCTAATAATAACACAGAGACAAAAACGGCCCACAATGCATTGTCAGTGAGATCGCAGCGCTGAAATGAATTTCTGTTCATACATCTGTCTGTTTTGACTGGTTAGTAACTAATCTTAACTAGCTGTGAATGACAGACAGCAGTGTTTCCTGCAGCGGTGAGACGCACATGACAGAGTTGTGAGCTTTTAGTTTGATTAAACACAATTAAATAAAAAGATGATGTTTTCACAACAAACAAACAGAACCACCATAGTCTGATTCACAAACAAATGACTCTTATGAACCGATTCTTTCTGCTTCACAAACATATGACTCGTATGAACCGATTCTTTCTGATTCACAAACATATGACTCTTATGAGCCAATTCTTTCTGATTCACAAACATATGACTCTTATGAGCAGATTCTTTCAGATTCACAAACAAATGACTCGTATGAGCCGATTCTTTCTGATTCTCAAACAAATGACTCTTATGAGCCAATTCTTTTTGATTCACAAACATATGACTCTTAAGAGCCAATTCTTTCTGATTCACAAACATATGACTCTTACGAAACAATTCTTTCTGATTCTCAAACATATGACTCTTATGAGCCAATTATTTCTGATTCACAAACATATGACTCATACGAGCCGATTCTTTCAGATTCACAAACAAATGACTCTTATGAGCCGATTCTTTCAGATTTACAAACAAATGACTCTTATGGGCCAATTCTTTCTGATTCATAAACATATGACTCTTACGAAATAATTCTTTCTGATTCTCAAACATATGACTCTTATGAGCCAATTATTTCTGATTCACAAACATATGACTCTTATAAGCCGATTCTTTCAGATTCACAAACAAATGACTCTTATGAGCCGATTCTTTCTGATTCACAAACATATGACTCTTATGGGCCAATTCTTTCTGATTCTCAAACAAATTGCTCTTATGAGCCTGTTCTTTTAAATGAATTGGTCAAAAAGACTCTGAATTACCAAATTGCTGAATTTATGAGAATGTTATTAACTGACTGGATCTTTATATAGTTAAAGATTCACAGTGCTTGGTGTTTTAAGGCAAGACACTACATGTAAACAGGGTAAAATCTAACAAATATCACCATACATACCCAGATGATTGATTACAATAAGAACTGCTAAAAAAATTATATTACAAATTTTCTGAAATGTTATGTTTAAATATGCAAATGAGGCATTATCTAATGAAACATACACTAATTTGCATAGAATATCTTGATATTCTCTTTTTATCACTCCATAAATCTCACAAATCCTGTTTCACCATGCATTACTTAGGTAATGCCTACATAATGCGTATAAATATAAAATTATATAAATAATTTTATATATTATTTTTCTATATTATACAATGTACACAGAGGGGATTTTGGATAATAATATCTATATTTTATATTATAATAATATTGATCACATTTAATTAAATGAATATTATTTTTCTATTTAATATAATTATTGTTTAAATTATATATTATTATTATTTAAATTTATATAATTTTTTTTTTACATTTATTTTATATATAAAACAATATTATTATTATTTTAAAATTTTAATCTATTTATCTATAATATAATATAATATAAAATCTATATATATTATGTTTAGGAAGAGCATTAATTTCTCATAAATTGATTGAAAGTCACATTAGAGTTAAAGGTTTTTTCCAGAGGGGATTTTGGATTTCTCTTTTTATTGCTCCATAAATCAGAAAATACTGTCAACAGCCAGAAAAGAATATGACTCTTATGAGCCAATTATTTCTGATTCACAAACATATGACTCTTATGAGCCAATTCTTTCTGATTCACAAACATATGACTCTTACGAAATAATTCTTTCTGATTCTCAAACATATGACTCTTATGAGCCAATTATTTCTGATTCACAAACATATGACTCTTATGAGCCGATTCTTTCAGATTTACAAACAAATGACTCTTATGGGCCAATTCTTTCTGATTCATAAACATATGACTCTTACGAAATAATTCTTTCTGATTCTCAAACATATGACTCTTATGAGCCAATTATTTCTGATTCACAAACATATGACTCTTATGAGCCGATTCTTTCAGATTCACAAACAAATGACTCTTATGAGCCGATTCTTTCTGATTCACAAACATATGACTCTTATGGGCCAATTCTTTCTGATTCTCAAACAAATTGCTCTTATGAGCCTGTTCTTTTAAATGAATTGGTCAAAAAGACTCTGAATTACCAAATTGCTGAATTTATGAGAATGTTATTAACTGACTGGATCTTTATATAGTTAAAGATTCACAGTGCTTGGTGTTTTAAGGCAAGACACTACATGTAAACAGGGTAAAATCTAACAAATATCACCATACATACCCAGATGATTGATTACAATAAGAACTGCTAAAAAAATTATATTACAAATTTTCTGAAATGTTATGTTTAAATATGCAAATGAGGCATTATCTAATGAAACATACACTAATTTGCATAGAATATCTTGATATTCTCTTTTTATCACTCCATAAATCTCACAAATCCTGTTTCACCATGCATTACTTAGGTAATGCCTACATAATGCGTATAAATATAAAATTATATAAATAATTTTATATATTATTTTTCTATATTATACAATGTACACAGAGGGGATTTTGGATAATAATATCTATATTTTATATTATAATAATATTGATCACATTTAATTAAATGAATATTATTTTTCTATTTAATATAATTATTGTTTAAATTATATATTATTATTATTTAAATTTATATAATTTTTTTTTTACATTTATTTTATATATAAAACAATATTATTATTATTTTAAAATTTTAATCTATTTATCTATAATATAATATAATATAAAATCTATATATATTATGTTTAGGAAGAGCATTAATTTCTCATAAATTGATTGAAAGTCACATTAGAGTTAAAGGTTTTTTCCAGAGGGGATTTTGGATTTCTCTTTTTATTACTCCATAAATTGAAAACACTTTCAAAATTTTAACCATATTTTTAGGATTTTTAAAAAAATATAAATTTAGATAAATGATATATGAACAAACCCCTCAGTAAATAAATATAGACAGGAATAAAACTGTAAAGTTTGGTGCTGCTGAAGTGAAGAAAAACTCACGGCTTTTAAAGATATTAATTGTATTATTGCCGTATTTTCATGACTTAAAGGGGTCCTATTATGCTTTTAGGTGTTGTAATAATGTAAAATATGTGAAAAATAATGTGTTTTTCGAACAACCTAGTATGAGAGCCTGTTCTAGTACACCCCCAAAACAAAATCAAGACCTTGTAAAAGAGCATAATAGGACCCCTTTAATAAAAATCAAAATAATAATATTGTTTTGTTTAGTATGTAGTCCTGAAACGGCTCAGATGAACAGTTATTTATTTATTTATATTTGATTTGATTTTTTTATTTAATGCAATGCATTGGGTGCTGCTGTCTCACCTCGGTTTCGTAAGGCTTGTCTCCACAGGATCTTGCCGATGACGGAGGTCCAGGCGTTCTTCACCTCTCCAGAAGCGGCCTGCAGGATGAAGGTGTCCTGTGATTTCCTCCGGCGAAACCAGATCTCGAAGCGCAGCCCGCTGTCTCCCACGCTCTCCGTCATCCCGATCTCAGCCGTCTAAGACGAGAACAAACACTCTTCATCTCACAAAACTCACTCTGCGGTCTGACACCAGACTCGTATTCTGTACCTTGAAGGACTGTTTGTAGATGTAGATGTCGTATCCTCCTTCAATCTTCTTGGTCTTGCTGAAGAGGATGAGATCCTCGAAAAGGAAAACGTGACGCAGGTATTTTTTGCGTCCGCACCAAACGATGAACTCGTCCTGACAGCGGAGCTGACCCTGCTCCTTCAGATTGACCTGAGAAACACAACACAGTATACAGTATATATCAGTTTCTATCAAATCATGTCAACAGATAAATCAAACTGATAACATAAGCTAATTCAAATTAACTCAGTATTTTTTTTGTGTGAAATACAGTAAAAAATAATTGTATTACAGTAAGATGCATAATTAAAAATAATAGGAACTACGAAAGAGATATGATTTAATATTGCTTTAAATATTAATTATTTATATACCTAAAAATGTTTACATTTATTTCAATAAAATATATTTATATTTTTAATTATGTCTTATTTAATTATTAAATAGTTATTTATTTTTATTTTTTATATTTATTATTATATTTATTTATTATTTTATTTAAAACAAATAAACAAACAAATAAATAATACATTTATTTATTTGAATAACATTTATTCAATTAATATTTTAAAAAGCAATTATTTATTTAATTTAATTATTAAATAACTATTTATGTTATTTACATTAAACCAAATATTGTCCTATCATAACAAAGCTTATTTATTCTGGGTCACATATTTATTCATGTCATGCATTTGGTGCTGCTGTCTGACCTCGGTTTCGTAAGGCTTGTCTCCACAGGATCTTGCCGATGACGGAGGTCCAGGCGTTCTTCACCTCTCCAGAAGCGGCCTGCAGGATGAAGGTGTCCTGTGATTTCCTCCGGCGAAACCAGATCTCGAAGCGCAGCCCGCTGTCTCCCACGCTCTCCGTCATCCCGATCTCAGCCGTCTAAGACGAGAACAAACACTCTTCATCTCACAAAACTCACTCTGCGGTCTGACACCAGACTCGTATTCTGTACCTTGAAGGACTGTTTGTAGATGTAGATGTCGTATCCTCCTTCAATCTTCTTGGTCTTGCTGAAGAGGATGAGATCCTCGAAAAGGAAAACGTGACGCAGGTATTTTTTGCGTCCGCACCAAACGATGAACTCGTCCTGACAGCGGAGCTGACCCTGCTCCTTCAGATTGACCTGAGAAACACAACACAGTATACAGTATATATCAGTTTCTATCAAATCATGTCAACAGATAAATCAAACTGATAACATAAGCTAATTCAAATTAACTCAGTATTTTTTTTGTGTGAAATACAGTAAAAAATAATTGTATTACAGTAAGATGCATAATTAAAAATAATAGGAACTACGAAAGAGATATGATTTAATGATAAAATGAATAAATAAAACTAACAAATAAATAAATAAATAAATGAAACTTAAAATAATAATTAATTTTAATTATTTATTTTATTTGCTTTAAATATTAATTATTTATATACCTAAAAATGTTTACATTTATTTCAATAAAATATATTTATATTTTTAATTATGTCTTATTTAATTATTAAATAGTTATTTATTTTTATTTTTTATATTTATTATTATATTTATTTATTATTTTATTTAAAACAAATAAACAAACAAATAAATAATACATTTATTTATTTGAATAACATTTATTCAATTAATATTTTAAAAAGCAATTATTTATTTAATTTAATTATTAAATAACTATTTATGTTATTTACATTAAATTTGAGTTACTCAAATATATAAACAAACACAATTATTAATTTTTATTAAAATGTATTCAAATTATTATAAATTACTTATTAAAATAAATTATTTTTAAATAAAAATTATTTTATTTACGTTGTTATTTAAATAAATAAATAATACAATTATTTATTTGAATGAAATTTAGTCAAATAAATAATAATTTTTTAAAATAATATAAAAAAAACAATTTATTTAATTATCAAAATTATTTATTTTATTTACTTTACATGTTATTTACTCAAACAAACAAACAATTATTTATTTAAATTTTTATTTTTAAATAAAAATATTCATTTTATTTAATTATTAAACGGTTATGTATTTTATTTACATTAAATGTAATTTTCTCAAATAAACAAATAAATCAAATTATTTGTTTGAATAAAATGTATTCAAAAACATTATAATAATGATTTTATTTAAAGGAAACTCCGCTTACGTCACATCCCCGGATGGCGTCCATGGCCAGCAGGTCGTTTCCGTGGCGCAGCTGGAACTTGACCATCTCCTCCGCTGTTCTGAGGTCAGTGAGCTCCTGCTCCTGAGACTGACCGCACTCCTTGATCAGATCCTTCAGGAGCAGAGCGTATTTACTCATCCTCTGGATGGGCTTCAGCAGGTACGACGCCAGGTGGAAACTCCGCTTACGTCACATCCCCGGATGGCGTCCATGGCCAGCAGGTCGTTTCCGTGGCGCAGCTGGAACTTGACCATCTCCTCCGCTGTTCTGAGGTCAGTGAGCTCCTGCTCCTGAGACTGACCGCACTCCTTGATCAGATCCTTCAGGAGCAGAGCGTATTTACTCATCCTCTGGATGGGCTTCAGCAGGTACGACGCCAGGTCCATCTTATCGCCCAGCTCCAGCTGCTTGTTCTGCAGAGCACAGGTAACATTCAGAAACGTCCAGCAGCTCGTGTGAATAACGTCACGGAGGAGAAACACCATTGGTTACCTTGAAAAAATTGTTTCCGTGGCTCGTTAACAGGGCGTCTGAGCGCGGCTTGTTTTTGCTGTACAGGGCGTACATCCCGAACTGTTCCTCCTAACCGTGGAAAAAAACACATTTATATCTCACATAGAGGTGGACACTTTGGACAAAATCTCATAAGATTTTATGATGTATTTTAACAGCATTTATCGAGAGCAACCAAGAGCAAAATATCTACCGGTTGACAAATTTCTACCATTGTATATTATACGCATTATCATTTAAAAGTCTGGAGTTTTATTCAAAAAATTTAATTTTAAAATGTTTTATTTTATTTAATTATTAAATAACGACAAATTTTATTTACATTAAATGAAAAATTTTATATTATTTATTTGAAGTAAACGTATTCAAATAAATGGCAGTATTTTAAAATAATAATTATTTATTTTACTTAATTATTAAAAAATAAATAGGAAGCAGCTGCTGATGGACAGCGGTGAATGAGCGCAGCTCTCCAGATCCGTCAGGAAATACTGGCTGTGAAAATCACACAGCTTCTCCAGATTCCCAAAAATGATGCTGCGCTTCCCTCGGAGGTCCTGAGGAAGGTCCAGTCGCTCCATCTCAGGGAAGTAGTGCTGGATGATGTAGCTGAGGGATCTGACGTACTCTCTCTCGGTGGAGATCATCTCGTCCATGATGTGCTGGGTTTTACTGAAACGAGCGACAGCAGCGATGCAGCATGAATACAGCGATACATAGTACTGACGGAGAATGCGTCTCTAGGCATTCAGTTGTTATGAGTTTGCTAATGAGACGTTTTAAAATCAGCTTTAAAATGTGCATTTACAGTCAATGTTAGCGTGAAGATGTAGAGAAAAACATACACAAGACCATATAAAAATCTCATTATTTCAGTCGTCTCAGGCCACATTTATAGTCTAATACTTTTACTAAATTATTAAAATTGAACAAATCAATAATAATATCAGTAGTAATACTATACTGTAAAATAAAAAAATTAGAGTTTATTTATAAAATGAAATAGTTAATAACAGTAAAAAATACAAATAATTACTATTATTTATGTTTAATTATCTCTATTATTTACTATTATTACTAATAGTTTTGGCTGTCTTTATTATTATTATTATCATCATCATCATCACAATCATAATTTTTAAAATTAAATTATAATAATTAATTCATTAAATTCTACACAAATCTGTCTTTATTATTATTATTATTATTATTATTATTATTAAATTATAATTATTCATTCGGCAAAATTAAATCAATTTTAATAAAATGTAATAAAATAAATAAAATTTACATTAGTAGTTTTTCTAAAGTAATAATACTATAATGTAAAATATAACTGAACATTTAATAATGATAACAATAAAAATAATATTTTTTGGTTATTTTATTATTTCATTTAATAACAATAATAATAATTTTATGGTTATTTTATTAAGTTATAACATTTAAACATATTATTTATATAAATAGAAATATATTTAAAGAAAATCAAGTATTTGATAAAATATATTATTAATTTTATTAATTTTTTTAACAGAACAACAGTAGAAATACAAATAAGTACTACTACTATTATTTATGTTTAATTATCTCCATTATTTACTATCATTACCAATATTTAAATTTGTCTTTTATTTTATTGAATAAAATAACTATTTATTTAATTATAAAAAATTAAACAAAGAAATATATTATAGCATAGTAATAATACGACATTATAAAATAAAAATGAGCATTTCTTAATAATAATAATGTTGATTATAATAATAATAATAATAATTGTTATTATTGTTATTATTATTAGTATTAATAATAATACTTAATTCAGAGAACAACAGTAAAAATACAAATAAAATAATTATTATTTATGTTTGATTTATCATAATTTTTATTTCATTATTATTATTAATATTTATTATTATTACTAATATTTGTGACCCTGGAGCTGGGGTATATTTGTAGCAATAGCCAAAAATACATTGTATGGGTCAAAATTATAGATTTGCCAAAAATCATTAGGATATTAAGTAAAGATCATGTTCCATGAAGATATTTTGTAAATTTCCTACCGTAAATATATCAAAACTTAATTTTTGATTAGTAATATGCATTGCTAAGAACTTCATTTGGACAACTTTAAAGATGATTTTCTCAATATTTAGATTTTTTTGCACCCTCAGATTCCAGATTTTCAAATAGTTGTATCTCAGCCAAATATTGTCCGATCCTAACAAACCAGACATCAATGGAAAGCTTATTTATTCAGCTTTCAGATGATGTATAAATCTCAATTTTAATAAATTGACACTTGTGACTGGTTTTGTGCTCCAGGGTCATATATATGCTGTCTTAATGTTGTTGGCTGAAAGCTGGAGGTTTTGCGCGTCGTTCACCCGCTGTGTCTCTTGACATCTCCGTCGCTGAGTCTGCACTGAACGCGTGACGGGGACGACATGCTGCGGCTGCGGCACAGCGCCGGGCTCGTGACGTCTGGCCGCTCCAGCTTCTTCTCCACGCAGACGTTATTGGTGACCTGCAGTCCTCGGATGTAGACGCCGCTGTAGCCGTGAGCTTTGTCCCGCGCCGGTAGCTCGTAGCTCAGGGTCTTCTTCATGATCTTCTTGAGCGGCTGCTTGCGGTGGCGCATCAGGGGCTCAGAGTGGCACGAGGCGGACGAGTCGACGGTGCAGTCGCTGTCGGTGTCCTCAAACACACACGG